CACGCACACTCACACAGCCCCACACAGAGTCACGCACACTCACACAGCCCCAGACTCACGCACACACATGCACACTCACACACCCCCAAAAAGACTCATGCGCACGTGTCTACAACTGTTAGGCACCCATCTATTGTGGGGGTCTGGCCCAATTGGTCACTTACAGAGAGGGGCCCCAGATTCTGGGACTGTGAGGCTGCTGTTGGAGGTCGTCTCTCTACAGACCTGCAGGCTCCTGGGACAAACACCTGAAACAGGAGGAGTTACAGCAATCTTTCAGTAGAGAATTTAGAGACCCCTCACACACACTCAGTCTCTCTCTCTCACACACACACACTCTCTCTCTCTCTCTCACTCACACACACACACTCTCTCTCACTCACACACACACAAGCTGCTCCTGTGGGCTCTGACACACCGAGGGGGGGGGCAGGATTATAAAGAGGCAGGAGGCCGGGGCAGGGGGAGAGTCTGGAGAGGAGCAGGAGCAGAGAGAGAGAGCGAGCAGCCAGGGACAGACGGCAGAGGCACAGCTCACAGGTAGGACAGCTTCCTCTGTCTCATTCCCGCTGGATTCCCACCGGATTCCCGCTGTGCGGGCCGGAGCGTGACCGGAATGGCGAGCGTGGCGGAGCGGAGGTGCCGAAGGGACGCCCGTTGCCGTGGCGACTCTCCTGAGTTGGACGCATCGGTCTGTGTTCGGCAAGGACCATCGGTGTGGGGGGGGGGGCATGGCGGAGACCCGCGGATGTCGGGGTGCTGGGCAGAGCTGGCAGCTGCCCGCTCGTTACTAACGAGGCTGGAATGTCAGGGCAGCGGATCCGATTACTCAACTCGCTCCGGTTTGTTCAAACTTCCCAAAAGCAGCTTAAAGAGCGAGTCTTCTGGGAGGTCACATGCAGTCCCGGGGTTTGGGGGGGCTGGTCTTTCTTGCTGGTTTTTGGGGCGTCTCCTATCCTCCCTCACCATCCCAACACAGGGAGAGCTACTATTAGGGGTGTTCAACTGAGGGGTGGGGGGGTCCCTTTTAGCACCCCACTCCAGCTCCAGCTCAGCCCAGCCCTGTGTCCAATCAGCAGACGAGCCTGTCCAGCTCACCTGCCTGCTCGTTCCAGACTCCCACCACCCTTTGCGTAAAGACGTGCCTCCTGCCCTCAGTGTTGATGACTGGGAGTCCACTGGGAATCGACAGAGAGGCACAAAGCACAGGACGTGCCGTCGAAGGCAGCAAATGATGATTTTAAAAACCGGTCATCTGCGCTCTGATCACCTGCTCACACTAATTCAGCTGCTTAAAAACCAAATATGGCCTTGGACGATCTAAACGGCTTTTTTCGCCCTATATCCAACCTACCTTTTAAACAACCACATTGTTGCAAATAACCGCTTCAAATCCTTTCAGTCTGGAATCACGCAGTGCCGAAACCGCCCTGGTTAACGTCTCTCACAATCTCCTTTCAGCTTCCGACTGGCTCTCCCTCTGTCCTTACTCTCCTTGACACTGCGAGCCGTGACATCTTACACTTTGGGTGTTTGGGTGTTTGGGGTTTGTGACGTTGCTCTAACCTGACTGATCACCGACACTGTCACTGATTCCGGTGCCGAAACCAGACTCGTTAAGGCTGGTGTCCCCCAGGGCTCGATGCTGGGCCCCATACCATTCAGTCAGGAAGTAAGATCACATGGTCTGAATTATCATTTCTTCGCTGATGATACTCAGATCTGCGCCCACACTAAACCTGACACTGAAGTGGCTGTCTCTGCTCTCTCCTCTTGCCTCTCTGACGTAACGTGACTCAAGGTTTCTTTCATTTCATCGGAGACAAGACAGCATCGTGCTTCTCGGCAAATCCTACCCACTATCTAGAGCCAGTCGGTGCACGGTACTGCACCTGAGTTTGAATCTAAATTGATTTATCTGGGGGTGATATTTGATCCAGGCTGAGGGTTTGGCCGACAAGTACAAAATATTGCAAAACAACATTCTTCCATCTCGGAAATATCGCCAGATTCGTCATTTGTTGTTGCTGAATGTAGATGGAAAAGCAGGTCAGCTTTTCTGTCTGATTACTGTTCTCAGTACTCCCTACTCCCAGGGGTATCTAGACCCGCTCTGAACAAACTGCAGTGTGTCCAGGATTCGGCAGCCAGAATCCTGACCAGGTCTTGCACTCCTGTCCTGGAGTCCCTGCACTGGCTTCCTGTCAGGTTTTGAGTCCTCCTGCTCACCTCTAAGGCTGTGCGTGGCTCGGCACCTCAGTACCTGTCTGCGTTACTGTCCCCCTACTCCCCACCTCGGAGCTCTGATTCTGGCGTCCTGCTCGTCATCATTATGGGCTCCCCAGAGTGACTGCACTGACTCTTTGATTGGTTGTGCACAGATATCATGGCGACCAATCAGAAGACGGCGTTCCTGAGGCCCTTCCTCTTCATCCTCACCCTGATTGGCTGCTGCTCGACCGATCCCGGCAGCCGGACCGGCACCAGCCCGGCGACCACGCGGGCCAGAATCATCTACGAGACGGGGCTGGACTTCGGCGCCTACGAGAGCGAAGACGGCGGCGAGCCGGCGGGAGGGCCCCGCACCCCTGCCCCCCGCCCGGCCCCCGCCTCGCGTGCTGGCCGCCAGGTCTGCGACTACGACCCCTGCCGCCACGAGCAGACGCCCTGCGCGGCCCTGCGGGAGGCCAGCGGGTGCCTCTGCCCCGGCGTCAGTGGCCCCACGGTCACCCCCGAGCCCCCCAGGCTCCGGGAGGTCGTCCAGCAGGGGTCGGAGGTCAGAGTCCACTGGTGCGCCCCCACGTCCACAGTGGAGCGGTACTGGGTGACGGTGGAGGGCGGGGCGCCCCTGGTTTTCGGGGAGCGGTCCAGGGTGGCAGCGCTGGCGGGCGGCATGTACGAGGTGTGCGTGGCGGCGGAGAACGGGGCCGGGCGCAGCGCCCCCTCCTGCTCGCTGCCCCAGGCGACAGCGGACGCCAGCCTGGCCCTGCAGGCGGGGCTGATAGGGGGCGCCCTGCTCCTGCTCCTGCTGCTCAGCCTGGGGGGTCTCCTGCTCTGGAGGAGGCGGCGGGCCCACAGGAGGGCGGCGCTGTCAGCGGGGGGGCTGGGGAACCCCACGTTCGGGTCGGAGCCGCCCCTGTGAGACCCCAGACTGCAGAGGGGGGCCTGTCCCCCAGGGGGTCACCCTGCTGGAGATGGGCACACCCCCACACAGGCACTCCTCCCACTGAGGTGTCCAGTGGGCTCAGTGCTGGGGGTCACACTGCACTGGGGTGTCCAGTGGGGTCAGTGCTGGGG